TGTGTGTGCATGTGTGGGTACTGTGCGTGCACATGTGTAAGTGTGTGTCCACTTGGCCTGTGTCCCTCAGGTATCAGAGGTAGGGATGGGAGGCCGGGTTCCTTGTATGTAAATCCAGTTCTGTAGGGAAGGGGGTGACGCAGGCCGGGAAAGAGCTGGGGTTGTGGGCTGGGGTGTGGGGAGGGGCCCAGGGTGGCCGAGCTGAAGCAGGGCTGACATAGGTCCCTGGAGGGCCAGGGGGAGGCAGGACGCCCCAGGGTGCACCCTTGCTGTTCCCCCCCCCCCATATGGGTAAGTCTCAGTTTCCCATCTGTAAATACAGGAGTTGATGGTCCCTGCCCTGCATGGCTGTTGTGAGCATTACATGAATGAACACGCAGCCCCTGGCGCTGCCAGTTCTGGGAGACTCTTGGTGGTTTTTTATTGTGGTAAAATATGCAAATATACATTTCCCATCTCAACCATTTTTTTTTGACTCCTCCCCTCCACGCTCAGCCAATTTTGGTGCACAGTTCGGTTGTGCTGAGAACCTTCTACCTTCACACTGCAGTGCAGCCCGTGGCCAGAACCCTCTTCAGCTTGCAAAACTGAAACTGCTCATTAAACAGCAGCTCCCGTTCCTCCTCCCCTGGGCCCCGGGGAGGCCGCCGCTTTGCCTCCTTCTCTCTGGATGTGACTATTCTGGGGTATTCTAGGATCCGCAGAAGTGCAGTTCCCCAGCACCTGTCCTTGGTGTCTTTCACTCAGCAGAAAGTCTTCAGGCTCCATCCCCGTCGCAGTGCGGGTCAGAACTTCCTTTTTCAGGCTGAATAATACTTGAGACTAGGAAGCTCCTCTCCCGAACACTTCGCCAGCAGCAGCCTCCGAGAGGCCAAGGGCGGGCAGGGCTGGGGTTTTGGGGAGAGGCTGTCCTCTTAAAGCCAGAGCCCCCATATGTTTCCTCAGTGCTGGCCAGGGCCTTCCCTGGGGCCGCCTCCACCCATCCTTCCTGGATTCGTCCGTTTCACACGGCCAGCAGAGACATACCTGAGACTGGGTAATTTATAAAGGAAAGAGGATTATTGGACTTCCTGTTCCATGAGGCTGGGGAGGCCTCACAATCATGGCAGAAGGTGAAAGGCTCATCTCACATGTTTGGTGGCAATAGAGAGAATGGGATCCAAGCAAGATGGGTTTCCGCTTATCAGACCATCAGATCGTGTGAGACTGACTTACTGCCACAGGAACAGTGTGGGGAACCTCCCCTGTGACTCAGTTGTCTCCCGCTGGGTCTGTCTCCCAAAATGTGGGAATGGTAGGGTACAATTTAAGATGAGATTTGGGTGGGACACAGTCTAACCAGATCACCTCCGGTGAGGTCTCCCCTTAACCCACGGGGTCGGTGTCTGTCTCTTCAGGACTCCTTAGCTGGGGAGAGTCTGCCCAAGAGCCCCACTAGCAGCTCCTGGCCCGGGAAACAGGCTCCTGCCCTTCCCCCTCTAAGGACAGAGCGCCCCAGAGGGCTGGGTGGAGAAACATGGGCCAAACGAAAACCTTTTAAGCTACAACAGACAAATGTGTAAGAAAGTAAGAGTAAGACACCGCAGTCGGGCACCCTCCCCGCTCAGGCTGGGCCACAGATTCCCAGAACTCTGCACTTCAGGCACTTGGTGGGAAAGGCTCGAGGCTGAGGCGAGGGAGTTGGGTTTGGAAGAGCAGCCTTGCCACCTCGAGCACACGTGAGGCCACTGAACCAGGCCCCGTCCCAGAGGCAGCCCCACAGTGCAGGGCACAGCTCAGATGCGCCCCCAGGACCTCAGCCGCTTCTCCAGCACCTCGCAGGGCCTGGCGTGCAGAGAAGGGAGCATCGCCCTGCCTGCCAGGCCCTGTGTCCACATCGTCCCCCTGCCTCTCACTCCAGCCCCAGGAAGGTGGGACTGTTACACCCCTGCCCTTATTTTTTTGTAATTTGAGACAGGGTCTCGCTCTGTCACCCAGGCTGGAGTGCAGCCTCCACTTCCCAGGTTCAAGCAATCCTTCCACCTCAGCTTCCATAGTAGCTGGGACCACAGGCATGGGCCACCATGCCCAGCTAATTTTTTAGTTTTTGAAGAGACAGGGTCTTACTATGTTGCCCAGGCTGGTCTTGAATCTTGGGCTGAAGTGCTCGGATTACAGATGTGAGCCACTGCTCCCGGCCAACCCGTTTTGCAGATGACAAAGTTGAGGCTTAGATGCAAAGTAACTCATCCACTTCCCAACTGGTGACCACAGGAGCTGAGCCCAGAACCCAAGCCAGCCAGGCCCCCACAACTCTGCCCTTTGCCAGAGTCAGAGAAGTGGGTGGTTGGAAGTCCCCACCGAATCCCCCAGGGCTCCGTCAAACCTAGGCAGGGTGGGCCTGGCAGGAGCCTCAGCCTCCCTTGGAGATGGGCTGGTGTGAGCAGCCATGCGCCTCCTGACCCGGCTGGGTAGAAGCCTTGCAGTGCATCTTTGAATAATGTCCTGGGGTTGCCAGCTGCACCCCATAGATGCCACAGCTGCCTCCCTGCATTCCTGTGCACCAGCCCAGAAGAAAAAAATGCAGTTTTCAGAAACAGGAGCCTGCTGAGGTCAGCAAAGCTCCTGTGTGCATGCTTCTGTGTGCCCCAGCTGTGCACGCCTGCCTGGGTTTTCTAGAAAAACCCGAGTGAGTGAGGGGTGCCATCTTGTGGAGGGACCTCTGTGGCCAGTCAGTTTGTGTGACCTCCATGGACTGACTGGGAGTTGTGGCAAATAGGACCCAAAGTGGGGCCTGGTCTCCAACCGTGTCCCGGGGTTACGTGGATTTAGGGTCAGTGAGGGACTTGGCCACTCAGGAGGCCGTGCTCAGAAGATGGGGGAGGGGAGTTAGGAGAAGGGCCTGACCACAGGGGGTGGGGAGGGAGGATCCGAGGAAGGGGAGCCACCTGGCTTCCAGGGAGAGAAGAGAAAGAGAAAGTTTGTCCTGACAGACGCCCCTGACAGCTGCCCTGGGCCAGGATGTTAACAGGAGGGGAGATTGCACTGGCGCTGAGCCAGCCTCGCTCCCTCTGTCTGGAGGTGTGGGGCTTGGGGGCTTCTGTGAAAGGGGCCATGAGTGGACCCACCCAGGAAACCCAGGGGACAAGGGCACCTGCAGGCTCCGTCTCCCTGATTTCCAGTTCACACCTTTGCTGTTCTCTGCCCAGGGCCTGAAGCCGATGGACCACAATGGGCTGGCAGACCCCTACGTCAAGCTGCACCTGCTGCCCGGAGCCAGTAAGGTGAGGGGTTTCACGCAGACCCGCCCACCCGCTGCACCTGACCACACTGATGGGGCCTGGACTAGGCTGGGGGCACCCAGGGAGGCCCACAGCTGCCACTCCCCTCAGAGTCCACGCAAGCTGAGGGGACCTCAGCCATTCACCTCCATGCAAAGCACCAGGTCTGCCCCACACCCTGGATGCCTCCTGGGGACCTCACATGTCCGCCTTACCTACCTGCTGACCTGGGGAAACCCCTGGAGAATTTACAGGCCGGCACTTTATGAGAAGCATTTGCAACTGGAAGTTACTGTTAGGTGCAAACAGAGGACTCGGGTTCAATAACACTGGGAACCATTCAGAAGCAGGTTTCTGTGCCGTAGGACTTACCATTTAATGTGTTGATGGGCTGCTCCTTGACTCTCTGTAAGGAGGATGAAGTGGGCAGCATCTGCCCAATATATTTGACCACAGGATCCTTGTTCCTGCACTGGGGACCTGGGGGTCAACCACACATGCACTCGGGGCACCAGCGCAGCAGGTGCATCTAGGAGAGGGGAGGGAAAGAAGTCGCTGTTAAATAAAAGCATCAAGGTGACCTTGAGCTGTGGAAAATCAGAACCTAATTAGTCTCCCTTCTGTGCATCTGACGCTTCAGTGTTGTTTTATTTTTAATTTCATGGGGCAGAGTCTGAGTTGACTTGGGGCCCTAAATGTGTAGGCCTGGGGTCCAGGAGGACCCGCTCAGAAGGGGCCATTCCCTTTCTCTAGGGAGACAGGGCTGCAGGAGAAATGGCAGTGACCCACCACCTAGTCCTGGGGAAGAAATGGGCTCCCCATTCCAGGCGGGCGTCGATGTCCTTATGCAGGTGGGCTCGGTGTGAGGGCCAGGGCGAGTGTGACTGGGGACGTGTGCCTGACACAGGAGCTCAGGGCCCCCTCATTTGTGGGACTGGAGCTGGCAGTGCCTGGCTGCCGCATTTTAGGAGGTCCCCAGGACTCTCCCAAGTGTTTTATAAAGTGTGGTCTCCTTGTAAACAAGGTCCCGAAAGCCATGTGAGAGGGATTCCTGTGCCCTGTCCATGGTGCGGAACCCGATGCTGCCACAGAGCTGGAATGGGAAGCTGGGGCTGCCGACCTCCCAGCCTGGGCTGGGCGTGGCAGGCATCAGACCAATTCAAACACGCAGCTCAGAGTCGATGGCTCAGGAGGATGGAGTGGCTGCAACGTTCCGGCTCAGAGGCCACCCCCGAGGCATACCGGAGGACAGGATGGGTTCCAGGCAGAGGGAACAGTCTGAAAAGGAAGGGCGTGCCCTGGGAAGGAGACCCCAGTTCCACACAGGCCTCCTGCAGAACCCACCCCAGGCATCAGGGGCTGGAGGCAGGACCCTCCTTGGATGAGCCTCCTATGGCTGCTGCAGCAGATGACCCCGAACCTCGTGGCTTGAAGCAGCGCACTCTGACGGCTCTGCAGGTTACGGTCCATCCAAGCTCTCCCTGGGCTAAAATCAAGCTGTCAGCAGGGCTGCGTTTCTCCTGGGGCCCGGGGAGCCTACCTATTGCCTGGCTCTTTCTGACTTCTAGAGGCCGCCCACCCTCCTGTACCCTTCACAGCAGGCCCTGTTGCATCTCCCTGGCCTCCTTCCTTGGTGACATCGCAGTTTTTCTTCTCTGCTCCTCCTTCTGCTTTTAAGGACCCTGTGACCACTCGGGGCCACCGAGACAATCCAGGATCATCTCCCTATCGTAACGTCAGCCTGTTAACGACCCAACTCCACCTGCAGCTCCACTCCCCTTGGCCGTGCTGAGAACCTATTCACAGGTTCCAAGATGCGGACGTGGCCATCTCTGGGGGCCGCTGTTCTGTCTGACACATCCTTTGATGCTAATAATATCATTTTTCCCTTCTCCAGGCAAATAAGCTCAGAACAAAGACTCTCCGTAACACTCTGAACCCCACGTGGAACGAGACCCTCACTTACTATGGGATCACAGATGAAGACATGCTCCGCAAGACCCTGCGGTGGGTGAGGGGCCCGGGCCGCTGCCCCCTCCCCGTCCCCACCCCCACCCGGCTGTCCTAGTGAAGGCAGGACTGGGGGTCAGATGGTCCCCTGTGGGTTCAACCTCATGCCAGCAACTCCAGCCTGGGTTCAAAGACAGGCAGACAGGTTAATCCGTGCCGGTGGAGCCTGGTGGATGGAAAAGGGTCACCCTGGCCTGTCCCCTGAAGGTGCTTCCTGGGGCCTCTCAGGGTGCTGGAGGTGGTTCCCTCTGGAGAACTGGCTCCCCAGCCTCCCGGCTACCCCTTCTTTCTCCTGTTCCCTCCTTGAACTGGAGGACACTTGTCCAGGAGGACAGTGCCTGACATCATGCCACCCTCTGGCCCTGTCACCCAGGCATCTTGTGCCTCTCCCTCCCCAGACCAGGGTAGGGCTCGAGGCAGGAAAAGCCAGGGCCGGCCCTCCCCTCGCACACCCCCCCACGCCCAGTGCGTCTGAGGCGCTGGCTGTGCCTCTTGCCCCCGACCCACCCCAGGATCTCCGTGTGCGACGAGGACAAATTCCGGCACAACGAGTTCATCGGGGAGACACGAGTGCCTCTGAAGAAGCTGAAGCCCAACCACACCAAGACGTTCAGCATCTGCCTGGAGAAGCAGCTGCCGGTGAGAGCACTGGTTGAGCACCTGCTGTGTACCTGGCTCAGTGGCAGGTGCTGAGAAGGCGGAACTTCCTGCCTCTGATGGGCTCATGAGGGGCAGAGTGAGAGGGGAGGGGAGATTGAGGAGGTGAGCTTGAAGAGGCGAGGGACTGGAGGCCAGGAAGGACCATGGCTTTCACGGGAGGTGCTAGGCAGAGGGAACGCGGGGGATGACATTTTACCAGGCTTGCTGGCCCTGGGCTCAGGAAGTCTGGAAGAAGAGGGCGGAAGGCCCGGGGAGACAGGGAGAGATGGGCGCAGCCCTGACCTGGCCTCTGCAGCGGGAGGGGGGCTTCATTCTGGACCGGATGTGCAGGTAGCAGATAGGACTTCCTTGGGTGCAGGGAGGACAGATCTGAGGTTTGAGGCCTGAGCCCCTGAAGCCTGAGAGGCTGTTCACTGTGCCCAGAGGACTGGGGCAGGGACCACATGCAGGTGGGACACTCAAGGAGCATGCTTGGAACGGGTTAGACTTGAGTGCCCGTGAGATACGCAGAGAAGACAGAAGACTATCCTTTCTGGGAAATGGCACTTGTCTGAACATTACGTAAGAAGAGATTTTGCCCCTGGCCTGCTCCAGCAGCCATGCCCTCCTGAGTCTTGGTGTATATAGGGCTGGCAAAGCCCTTATGAACCAGGTAAAGGCCCTCTCACCAGGGTTCCCCAGTGCCACCAGGGTCAAGAGAAATGCTGGCCCTCAGCCCTCTAGTGTTCAGGACGCAGGCAGAGGCATGGTCCCCTTCCTGGCACGTGGTCCCCTTAGAGGTCTGGGCAAGGGGCAAGTTCAGGAGGACAAAGCCCAGCAGCTGTCCCCAGTGTGCCCAGCCCCAGTGGGGCCCAGAGATGTGGACTCACGTCCAACTTAACCCAAGTCAAGCCCTGGGGGTGAGTCAGCCTGCGACTGGGGCTTCTTCCCAGGGTCCCAGTTCTGTCTTTCCGTATCACTTGGTCCAGTTTTTTT